GAAGCTTCTACAACAAAGCCTCTACGAAAAGCTATCTTCAAATAGCTACAGCACCTGAAGGCATCTTCGGGAAACCTGGTGCGTTTCCACATGGCTTGCAGAAAGCGGCCTACCTGTGCCAGCTGTAGCCATTCTGCCGGAGGGTACCAGGCAAAAAGGTATCCTTAAAGGAAATCCAAGCCTCCCACCCCTGTCTGCCACACGGCTGCCGGTCCCGATGGCTGTGCCGCATTTCCTCTCTGACGCCCGGCCCTTAACTTGGGAGACAGAAGACGGTCCTGGCCCTTCCCCAGCGTGGCTTACAGGAAGAGAAAACAAAATTCCCGCTTTCTGTACCATTTTTACAGGGATTTCTATCTCCCTACATCCCCATCCTCACGGCGCAGAGCCGCATCACGGATGCGGGCCGGCCTTAGACAAAGCGATCCCCCGGACCCCTCGGCGAGCGCGGGGAGCTCACCCAGGTGGGACATGGAGACGGTGCTGTTGCCGAAGCGGGCCTCGTTGTAGATGACCACGGCGGCCGCCCGCTTCCGCGCCGCGTTGGTGACCTTGTCCTTGAAGGTGCAGCCGCCGCGAGCCACCAGAGCGATCCAGGTCGGTGGGTCGCCCTCGGAGGGCCCGCGGCCACCGGGAGGCAGCGGCACGTCGTAGTCGGTGTCGGCGGCGCAGCCCTCCATGTGGCGGGGCGAGGCGCCGCGGGGAATGCCCACATGGCCCTGAGCGCTCTCCTTGGGCGAGCTGTCCCCGTAGCGGCCGCTCTCCGTGCGGCCGTTTACCGTGCGGTTGCTGAGCGGCTCCACATAGGACGTGCTCACCCACGCCGTGTACCACTCCAGCGCCCGGGCGCCCGCGCACGGCGGCGGCGGCGCCCCCAGCGCCACCAGCGCCGCCGCCACCAGCGCCAGCCGGGCGCGACGCACCATGGCCCGGCCGCCTCCGCCGCGGACAGGAGAAGCGTGCGCAGGTCGTTCCACCGCCACCACCGCCGGCACGCTCTGCCCCGCGGCCGCCCCGCGCCGCGCAGGTACCCGCGGTGCCGCCCGGGGCGGAGCCCGCCCGCCGCGGCTGAGGGCGAGCAGGGGGCCGGGCCAGGCCGCCCCACCCCGCCCCGCCGCGCCCCGCGGCATGCCGGGAGAGGGGGGGGGGCCGGCAAACAAGGCAGGCGGGCGGGGAGAGTGGGGGGCCTGTGGCCTGTGCGGTGCGGCAGCTAAACGGTCTCAAAATTAATTGGGTTGGAAAGGACCTCTGAGATTATCGAATCTAACTTGTGATCGACTACCGCCAGGTCAGCCAGATCACGGCACTCAGTCCCATGTCTAGTCTTTCATTAAAGACTCCTAGACCTGGTGACTCCACTGCCTCCCTGGGCAGCTCACTTCAATGTCTAACACTCTTTTTGTGAAGAAATTCCTCCTAGTGTTCCTCCTAATCCCACCCTGGCGCAGCTTTGAAGCTGTGCCTTCATGTCCTGTTGCTGGTTGCCTGGGAGAAGAGGCCGACCCCCACCTGGCTACAGCATCCTTCCATGTGGCTGTAGAGTGGCAAGGTCTCCCCTGAGCCTCCTTTTCTCCAGGCTAAACAGCCCCCGCTCCACCAGCTGCTTCTCATAGAACGTGTGCTCCAAACCCTTCACCAGCTCCACTGCCCTTCTCTGGACCAATTCCAGCACCTCCATATCCTTGAATTGAGGGCCCAGAACTGGACACAGCACTCGAGATGTGGCCTTACCAGTGCCGAATACAAGAGGAGAATTACTTCCCTAGCCCTACTGGCCGCTCTGTTTTTAACACAGGCCGTTGCCCCCGGTGTGCCGGGGCTGTTTACGGAGCACAGCTCAGCCCCGGCCCCTGCACGCAACTGGGGCCCACGGGTATCAACCTGAAGCGCCTCCCGCACGGAGTGGCCACTGTCCCTGCCTGGCACCCGCCTGCCCCTACCAGCGAGCCCTGGGGGCCTACTCGGCCTTGGACCCTGCCATGGGGGCGGTCCCGAGTCCTGCACACCAGCCCCGGCTGTGACACACGCGTCAACTTCAGTGAGTCACCACCGCACCCTCCGGGGCGCACCTCGCCCTCATTCGAGGGTGCAGCGTGGCTTCCCGAGGAGTGAAGCTGGAGCACCGGAGGCAAGGACACTCGGGAACAAGAGGTGGCCAGAAGCCAGCAAAGAACAGAGGGAAGCACGGACGTGCAGGGGGAAAGGAGCGGAGCTACGCGCGGTCAGATACACACGGTGCCTGTGCTGTTGTGCTGAGAGGAGCTCATTCCAGAAGGATGAAAAATGGTGTCAGGGTCTGTGCCGTGTCTGGAGGAAAAAGTATATAAGTGCAAGATTAGGGTACTGAATGGACATGATCATTCTACAGACTTACTTTCCATTAAATGGAGATATTTGATGTACACCTCTTCTTGAATAAACACGAAATCTTCCCGTTTTTTTTCATGGACACATCTGTACCTTTCCCCAGCTTTTAAAATGAATCACTTGTTTTCAACAACTACCAGCCTTTTTTGAAAGGTTGTTTTCCTTCAGAAGATTACAGTTGTGTTTTCCTGCACTGTTACCTGTGTTGTCGAACAACATTGTCAAACTTTGTTGATGTCCTTACTGATTGTGATTATACGTTGTGCGTGCTGACACAGGCAGGGCCCAATAGAGCCTGGAATAGTTTGTGCAGAAGATATCACTGGAAAAAGCCATGAGTGTCAGCATCAAGGCCAATATGTTCTCATTTCTGTTCCAGAGGCAGTGTTTCAACAAACAAATACCTTCAAACCCAAAGTATTCCTTGAAGATATTCTCTAGCATTCTCCCAAAATAAGACTTGGCAGTGTTAGGACTCTTGTCACTGAACACAGTGACAAGAAGATTAAAGTGGCAAAATCTAGAAGACAGACAAGACTGAGCAGAAAAGGTAATGTGGAAGGGGCTGTGGAGAATTTGGAAGCTGAGGGAAGAACATAGAAAAATTAGAGGTAATGAAAAAAATAGGGAAAAGAGGATAAGGAAACAGGAGCATCTAGCATTATGTTAGATGGGAGAGGGCATGTGGAGGTTGTGGCAGAGAAAAGGCAGGTAAAAGGTGAGCTTTATTGAAGCAATGCAATTTGGAAGAAGCACAAAATCAGAATTTAGCAAAATGCAGGTTAAAAATGAAAATACTTAAGTGATTTAAAAAATGTTCAAGTTAGGTTTTGGGGTGGATTTTTGTTGTTTTTTTTTTTTTTTACTTAGTTTGCTTTTTGGTGTTGTTTGCTTGGCTGGTTTTTTGGTTTTCTTGGTAAATAAATGAAAGACCCTTGGTCTAATCAGAATAGACATCACTCCAGACATGGGATAAAAGTAAAAATAGTAAGTAAAAAGGAAGAAACCAGATGCAGGAAATGTTCTTTTAAAAATACAGATTACTGGAAATAAGAAGCTGGTATTGACTGAGATTTGTACAGGTTAGGGAACTGTTGTCACAGTTCTTACAGTAAATACAGTCCAACCAGTGGCAAGAGAAAGATTTAAAGTGTAAATAGGAAACACGGGCTGTTATTCAATCCTAACACAAGCCATTACTCCTATTCTATTCTATTCTATTCTATTCTATTCTATTCTATTCTATTCTATTCTATTCTATTCTATGCTATTCTATGCTATGCTATGCTATGCTATGCTATGCTATGCTATGCTATGCTATGCTGTTCTGTTCTGTTCTGTTCTGTTCTCATCTTTGTTGGATATGAAGTGGGAATTTTAGTATGAGAGCTTAATTTTGTTGAAAGGAGATGGTGCAGGAAAACAAGATGAAAAGGTAAATTGTCAGACTTGGCTTAAGAAAACGCATCAGAGGAGAGTGGACAGAAGAGAGCAAGCTGTAACAAGAATTTTTAAGAGCAAGGCTTGCAAGGGAAGAAATAGCACTGAGGAAACTTTCAAAACACTATTAATGCACACCCACGTGCTCAGTTCCTACATGCAGAAAAGAAGAGCAAACTTTAAGAGTGACATTTAACTGCCACAGTGAAAGCAAAGGACACAGTAATGTGAAGATGAAGGAACAATAAAAAGTGCTTGGCTAGACTTTTCTGCCCAGAGAAAAAGCAGATTGGAGTCTCAGTTCCACAAATATTTTGAGAGAAATTAACTTGGTCCAGGAAAACTTAGGGAGAAAAAGCCAAAAGATGTATTCAGATCAGACAGAAAGTGTGGGTTACTCCAGCGAATGCTGTACTGAAGAATATCCTTATACAGTTTTTGCATTGAAAGTTGTTTTATTTGCATTTCTTCTTCATGGCCATTTTGTTAACAACTTTCAGTATTTTTAGAAATCAGAATACATTGCAAATTGCAATACACATCCAGAAATGAGACAGGTTGCATTTCAACCACTGAAGTGATGAAAATTTCATCAGAAACAGAGCATTCTTTGGTTAAATAAGAAGAGCAGTTCAAAATAGCTGTGCCTAAATCCTGTACATGCATTTCTTTTGCCCAAATTAGCAAGAAGTGAGAACCCAACTTTTCAACTTCATTTTTCTTTTTTCAGCAAGTATACAGAAATGACTAAGTACATCTTTTAAATATTGCAAGACCACAGTTAAAATTTTAAGCATGTTGCACAGCAAACTTTTTTGGGAAGCTACAGAAATAATGAAAATGCAGAACACGTGGAAATTATACATCAGCTAGTTGAAAGGCTTAATCAATACATAAGAGCTTATCAAGACTTATGAAAATGCGTGTTTGATCCAATAATTAAAGCTCAACAAATAAATGGGATTTTTGCTATTGACTTGAACTGAAGCAAGTCAGACTCTATGGTCTTAAGGAACTATGGTTTTATTGTGGTATTTCAGATAAAACTCTGGGTTAAAAGCTTCAATAACAACTTACCATGTGATGACCAATATTACTTGAGATATTTGTCTGTTTAAAGAAAAAATATAACTAGCCTATAAATAATAATATAAAGCCCAAATAAGAAAACTACTATAATCTCCCCTTTTTTAGGTCTGGAAAATTCCATTCGAAACTGCAGGTTGTATTTTTGATAATTTCTACAGACTTTCAAGGTCTCTCATGGTAGTTATTCCTTGGGTGAAGAAAGCATGAAATGAGAACAGGTGTTATAAGACAGTATTTCTTCATGAGACCCCTTTTGTCACTTTACATGTCACCAGCATTTCATGTTTTGAGGTTTTGTCAAGAGCCTCACATCAGGTCCATACAGAAAAGCTGCTTGATGAACGTGTCATTTTACAATACAGAAGCTACTCCAATTAATCTGTGTGTGCAGGGAGGCAGCTTGTAACAAATAGAGTGTTGTAAATTCAAAACCTTTCTTAGTACACACTGACTTCTTAAACCATTAAAGCTCTTCTGGACTTCCTTGACACTATACTGCTTCAAGACTAGTTAATAAGCTAATGGATAGGACATAGGACTAGCACTTCTAAAATTCTTCCTCTCTTCTTCAGCTTGTTTGGACATTAATATTGTACTCTGGATTTGCTTAACCTGTATTTTGAGGAGTGGGGGACAGAATGGGGATTTCAGGTTTCTCTGGGAATAGTAATGAACTGGGATAAAGAAATATGTAATTATACTTTCACAGAAATGTTACACCTGTGAAATTCTCTTACAAGGACTAGTATTTTTCCTGTTGAACTCTGATTTGAAAGTCCCATTAATCCTACTGGACAAAGTCATCAAATCCATAGTGGACAAAGATCCCCATGGCAAAATTATAGGAACCGAGGAGGATTTCACTTGATGATATTCTATAAATCTGTATAGGATGGGCCATCTTGCTTCAGTATTACACAATGCAAGATTCAGGGGCAAAATCAAATGTGAAAATGCAGCTCATCTGCCAAGAAAAAAAAAAAAAAAGAAGGAAATAGATTCAGGCAGGACGCTTCCTCCTTTTGTGTAATTACCTCTGCAAAAGATCTGCACAGCTAACAAAGTCTCTGGCAAGGAGACAAGAATTTAAAAAGCTTAGTGAGTGTCTAAATAAAGTTTTCCCCCCTCATTTGCCTTGACTTCATACAGAATATCAGGAATAGTAGTGACGCCTGGGGCCTGGGATTCACCCTAAGGCTAAGTTGGGCACCGTGGGGCCCCTTGTAGTTAAACCAGCATGGTGCCCAGCTGTTCTGGGAATGACTCCCTCTCTCCATGACTGAGCCAAAATAAGCTCAGCTACACTTAATTGGCTTCCAGCTGATCATAGCTCATGCAACTGCCTCTGAGCTCTGCCCAGGGATTAACCTGTACAAGCTCAGGGCACCCAGGCTCCTCCCCAGCCCAGATGTGATGCAGGCTGATGTCCAGAGCTCAAGTGCATTCCCAGGGATGTTGGAAGACCTTCCCCACAGGCACATAAACCCCATCTCGATGTGTCTTCTTCTTAATGTAACAGGGAGAGCAGCTATGTAATTTTGAAACTGTGTGGTGATGTGGCTAGTTAGCCATGGGGAATTTTCTTTCTGTTATACCCTTTAGAACTGCAGAGTAAGTTTACCAGGAGGACATCTAGAGAAAGAGCTCATGGGAAATAAGATACCTTTGAACTATGTCGATATTACCACATGAGAAGCCTATAGATAATGTGTTTGCAACAAAAATTTGCACTTTCCATACCGGGAAAAGCAGCTTTTCATGGCCTGAAATACCTACCATCCTTAGGCTTCTTTAAAAAATAAATGCATGAACAAGCCCTTTAAATCTTGGTGAGGAAAAGGAGTTAATGTAATGTTTGTAAGCCCTCAGTGAGTTAATGAGGGCTTACAAAAAATCAGTTGCACAAGCCAGTTAAAAATAAAGCAGTGGCTGGAGCAGGGAGGCAAAAAAAATGGGACTACAGGCTATTAAAATTACTTTTCCGGTCTCAACAGGAAGAGGTTAGCTTAGAACATTTACTTAAATTCTTCTTATGAGAATGTTTTTACTTGCATTGTGATAATCCTTGTGAGGCTGATTTGATTTTGGCCTTTAATGTGTTTAACCAGCTTTGTGTCAGAGACAAGTTATATTTGAGCTGTGTTGTTTGAGATGATTGCATTTTTTCTGCTAAAGAGAAGTTTTACTCAGTTTCCAAGTGAAATATCAAATTATCTAATTAGGGAAAAGCATACATAGAAAAGAGAAATTAGCAAATGAGGACAGCTTTAGCAAATAATTTGTTTTTAAACTTAAATACCTAAATTTGCAGCTATTAAGTTTCTCTTGAAGTACTTGCAATCGAGGGAGACCAAGCAGCAGTAATACCTCCACAATGCATAGAGGGTTCTGAGTAGGCAATTTGCATTTTCTGCAAATCAGAACATTATATTTAGCACATAGTGTAGTTTCCCTGTGGGTGCACAGCAATAGAAGTCAAAACAAACAGATACAAAGCATTTTAAAAACAGCATTTCAGATGACACATTGCCTGCTCGAAATGACAAGTCTGTACATTGCAGGGTAGGGCTAATATCCACCTCTCCTTTATAATTTGAAAGTCTGTGTTGATTTATTTTCACTCTGCTCCATGTGAGACAGGGCTATTTTGAAGCCTTTTGGGAGAAGAAGAAAAATACCACTGTAAAGAAACCATCTACCATGAAATTTTAAAAGTGTTTGGAAAGGAAACACAGGAGATTTCTATTTCAAAGCCCATTCAATCATCCTTTACTTGGAACTGCTTTTAAATACTCTTCTACTGCAATGGGAGAAACTTCTCCATACCAGCTTTGAAGCCAGATGTGTTCAATGTTCATTTTCATGAAGAACCACTCATAGCTACGAGGCCACTTTCTTACCACTGGGTGCCTGGAAGGACACAGAAAAGCAAAAAAAACATTAGAAGATGTGCCAAAGCATATGCATAGTCTGCTTTTTTCTTCAGTCTAATGTGCTCAGCCAGAGTAAAACCTGAGGTATGAGAACACCACCATTCATCTTTTTGGCCCCTCCTTGCAGTAAGGTTTACGATCTTCCATACCCTAATCTGGGAAGAACTGCAACACAGGCAGCCAGCAATCACCACCTTTCCCCCACTGCAGAGCCCTATCTCTAAAGGTAGATGTTTCACTAAGTAAAAAATAGTTAGAGAAGAGACTTTGAATGTATGTCAGGGTTGTGCTTGTGTCTGTTTAAAGGAAACAGTGTCGTGAAAATACTACATCTTTGATAGCAATTGTGGTATGGAGAGAGGGCTAATAAAACTGGGTAGCATAGAGCATAGAGCATAGCCTCTGCAAGCTGTCACCTCTGACAGCCTCATCCTATATTTATGTCTCATTTCTCTGGTCTCCCTTACAGCTAGGTCAGACAGATTCTCCCTGAGTGGGTGCAGATGTCTGGTCCCGAAGCAGTGTAGTTGTGGGAAGCTCAGCAGCCATGCACAGAGTGGATACCACAGTTCAAGTCACAGTGTTCACAGGAACATGGGCAGGAAGTGGTGCAAGTCTGGGCAGGGTTGGCTCAGTGTCCCTTTGCTCCTGCAGAGGACCATGCAGCAGAGGTGCTTGATTTGGCAACATCTTGGTTTCCCTCTCATTGGGAAAATGGTGTTTCCTACCATCTTCTGAGTTATCCCTTTGAGGACCTATGACTCTGGGGTTGGTAAGTGGCATCAGATGCTGCTGGCACTGGATGTGTCCCAGCAGCCCTCACTTTTTCGTTCTGGCTCTTGCACCCTGACAGCAGAGCATCCTCTGCTGAGGCACTGCTGGACTCTGGATCACATGGAAATCTAATTCCTGTGAAGTTTGTAAAGAAGGCTTGTGTGTCAATATGGCCCATCTTTTCATGGTCCCATTTTTGCTATTGGTGGCACACACTGACAGAGTCCTACCCTGACCCTGTCCTGTAGGTCAGCAAGAATCTCAGGGCTGTTTTGGATCCAAGCTCATCCCAGTTTCCCAGCAGTATTTGATTGACTAGGCAAGGTGCACCTGGAGGACAATCCCTGGCAGCCCTTGTGGGAGGTGTGTGCCCCAGCTAAGGTTCAGGCTTTTCATGCCTGTAATTCTTGAGAGTCACTGAAGGGCGTAGGAGCACAATCCTGTTTGTATGCTACACATCTGGGTTGTGCTTACATCTGTTCAAAGGAGACTATTCAGGAAGTACTACGGCTTTGAAGCAGCTGGGACGTTACGAGATGTAGTTAAACTTGTAAGATCCACCCTGAAAATGTTTATCAGCCCAAAGGCAGCAGACCTCTGCTCTGTCTCTGAGTCCACTACCTGTCATAAGGTGAGGTAGAATCATTAAAGATAACAAATACACCATGGAATTATGGAATCTCTCCTTGGAACCAGGTGACATATCTTCATAATCCCCAGATTATAAAACTGTCTGCCTTATCAGAGTCCAACGCTAACTAACTCCTTTCCTCAAGAGTTAAAAGGTCTGTCATTCCAAGCCACAGAAGCCAACATGCTTCATAGCCCCAAAGTAAAGGTCAGGCTTGTTATTTCTCAGATTTCCTGTACCAAACAGCCACCTTTGTGTATTTGTCTCAAACCTGTGGGTTGCACTCTGCTTTGTGCCTGTTAGATACAGACCTGGAAAACATTGCTTGCTTGGCAAATTCTATTTCCTCCGGAGGCACCGTGACCATCTGTCCTGTGAGAGTCAGCCTGGCGCACCTTGGATCCTCTGGATCAATTACGTTTCTTCTGTGCACAGAAAAAAATGCTCATGAGTAAGCTTGCTTGCTTTCTTAAGGGTTTTTGGAGAAGTGTGGACCCCTGCTTACATATAAAAAGCTTTGTCAATCCTTGTGGGTCTTCTCTACTCCCAGCTATACTGTTTGGTGGAGGGGAGAAGTCTGGAAGGAGCACTCGACTGACACATAGCTCTTCTGTAGATAGTTGCTTAATCTTAATTTATGCTCACAAAAATTGGATTAGTATATATTGGATTATAAAAAAATGTGAAAATGGCACTATTCCCAGACAGATGTACAGACTTGTATTCAAGATTCTGAGAAGAAATAGTGAGATGGCTAGTCTGTGCCTATGCCTAGAGAAAAGAGTATGAATATGTGTATCTGTATGTAAAACATAAGGTCTTTTCATTGTGCTTATCCTAGAAAATCAATCCTTGTTCATTTCTTAGCCATTTTTCAACTCTTTTGCATCAAATAGAAAAGTTCTCCAATTGCCTTCAGACCAAGACATGGAAGGTACTTGTTACTTTTTGGCTCTTTGTATACAGTAATAATAAATAACTCCCATTAGTCACTGCAGGGCAATTGCTGACTCTGACATATACAATACAAGGATATAAATCATAAGTAAATCTACCAATTGCAAAAAAATGTATGAAATGACTGCAAAGCTTTGATCCTGGCAAATATTGAGCAGCCCAAAGTCCTGTTGCCAGCAGTTTGAGACTGCTTAGTGTCTCAGGGAACATGTTCCCATGTCAGCCCAAGAAACTACATTAGGAAATCAAAACTGTATTTCTTCTTTGCTGTGTTTTAATCACAGTAAATTACATCTCATCCGTGTACAATTTTACTTAAAGATCTTGGCTTGAGTGCTTTAGCCTTAACTGCAATGGCTTCATTTTCAGTTATATTTCTCTATGTGTGTCTAGTGTATGCAGGAAACATATGGGCATCCTCCCTCAGCTAATTTAACACCTGCAGATTCTCCACAGATGGTTATGAGAGACTGTGTAGCTCACTAGATAAAATATCTGCTTTTCTGAAGAGGGTCAGAATCAGAGATACGTAAGGAAGTACAGGGGGCTGATTGATACTTGACTATGTCCAGTAAGCACTTGCCACTGTCTTCAGCCTGACCTCCAAAGTGCCATTTGCAGTCCCATCATCTCAGGGACAATTTTTTAGTGTCCTGTTAGGTCTGGAGCAGCAGTCGTCTGAAGGGGATGTTCAGTTTAAGAACTTTTGGACAAATTCCACTTGTATTTGTTTTCCTCTCCCATGCTTACTAATGGGAGGAAGGGTCGAGGCCAAAGATCAGGCTCAAACTTTCTGTCCACATCAACTTATAATGACCTAATTTTCTCTGGTATCATTTTTTAAGTTATAAAAGTGGTGTTTCTGAGTACCCAAAAATCTGCATTCCCTGCCCAGGCACTGGGTTTATTTCTATCAGAGTGTATGCAGAGTACAAATTTGTCTACATGATCAGCTTGGTACACCATAGATCCTCAGCACTGACTCCTGCTGAAGATGTCACTTCACGTCTGGGTTCCAGTGGCCTGAAAGCACTCTGTCCCTAAGGAACACAGCTCCATGCCTCAGGGACACTCATAGCTCCTGGCATTTCTTTTGTGTAGGCTTTGGGTGTTGTGTAGCTACCCAGCTTCTATGGCCCAGGGAGGTGCTGACCCGCCAAAACACAAATAAATAAAGGCAAATTCAGTGAATACAGCTGAAGAGAAAGAAGCCAATCCCACATGCAGAGGATGTCAGCTGAGGGTCTGCATGTCCAGCAGCCAGGGCAGTGCACATTCACACTCTTGCAAGTGTTGGCCTTGGATGGTGAAATGTTGAAGTCCATTTGAAGCAATCTCCAGATCTATTGTTATCTTTTAGCTTAATCTTAATACTGTATCCAAAGCCCTCTGCATATGTTTACATATTCAGTATATATCTAACACATGGATGAAGGAAAGGGACTTCTTACAAGCAGAAATTCAGTTCAGAAAATTGCTTTAGAACAACTGCGCCTCTGAATATATGGTACGATTTCCTCCACAGCCAAACAGGATCATAAAACAACTGAAGAGCCAGGAACAGCAGTAATATTTGCAAGTGTCTTTCTTACACACAGCTCCTAGGTAATACATGGTTAATTACTTTAAGAGAGGATTTTGAAAGGGATTGTTATTAAAAGATGTCTGTGTTTCACAGAGCAGATCAAGGTGATAGATTTTGGATGTGATCAGGAGCAGTGAGAAGTTTTAGTCTGACCTTCTCAGATTACAATTATCTGGTGGTTTTGTGTAAGTCCATGTTTATTCTGAAAGCACAGTATTTGATTTTGAGTAGGCAATAGAGCTGATGTAGCTGTGGTTAGGCAGTGAACCCTGCCAGCCTTTGCTGAGAAAGTTTTGCCTAATAGGACTAGTGTCTGATGTGACTCTTCCCCAGTTGATGTGAAAAGCTGCTCTCCACATATTTAGCTGACAACAAAGCCCACACACTGTGCATCCATAGCTTGAATCGTTTTTTTAATGTTGTTTTTTTCCCCCCCTGGCTTGTCTTTACAGTTTTCTGTACATTCTCGTTAACCAGGGTGCTACACTGATTGACACATGTAATACTATCTTCCCAGTAAAAATTATTCAAACTGAATTTTGCATATTGGAATAATATTCTTGAGGGTCAGTTTTTTTCTCTGGGAAATGACTCAGTTATTTGTTGATATTGTGTTAGGTGAAGTTTTGGAAGAGCTGAACAGGGCAATGATACATTTGAGTTCAGCACACTGTTACTACTTTGTTTTGCTTTCAGGTCTGCCTCTTACCATAGGTTTTTTGCTTCAGATTAGGAACCTTGTATTCTAATCTGAAATTAACAATAGTATTTTCTTTTTCAAAGGAACCCTTCATATTCTGAAGTGAATCTGTTTCTGCATTTCTTTTTTTTTGGCATAGTATTTCCCTAACGATGTTTGATTACTTTCATACTTCTTAAACCATCAAAACCCATTAAACTTAGAGCTACTATTTCTAAAAGTTATGAATGAGTCTTGAGTTTTCAGTGTTGTTGCCAGTGCAACTAGTACAAATGCAGGATTTGCTTCCTTGGAGCAAGGTGATATAGGCAAGGATTTGTCATATTTTTACTCAAGATAATAAATGAATATTTACTAAAACATTCCTCACTTGCATCTGTAGAGGTCTGGTCATGCATTCACTAGACATTTCTTGCCTCTGTATAAATATATACTCAGCTCTCAATCCCTCAGTTCCTTTCGTCTTTGCTGGCACAAGAACAGGTAGATGCAAAGGAGCAGGAGTGGCTTTATGCAACATTTGTGTGCTGCTGACTGGGTATGAGGGGGAGGCAGAGATGGTGACACTGTTGCTCTGTTGAGGAAAACCAAGGTAGTGTCTCAGGTGGTTTGTCTTTACCAGAATCAAGCCCTCTGTCTCCATGGAGAGAACTTCATGAATGCTGTAGTAAAATATGAACTGAAGGGAAGAGAAAGCAGGTAACTGTGAAAGAAGACCAAGCAATAGGGAACACATTATCTTTTTTCATGCTTATTTCAAATACATATATTTTGTTGCAGAAAATTAGGAAGGCCAGATTAAAATGGAAGAAGATTCAGTATATGCATTTTATAAGAAAACAGTGCATTAAGAGAGATAATCTTAATTATTCACCTGAGCTGTGAACTGAGAAGAATTGATTGTTCCTGTTCCTCTGCTTACAGTGAGCAAAATAGCTATGCAGACTTTGACCCAGTCCAGGCAGTTTTCTTCCAAGTGTGTGAGATGACATCACCTACAAATGTGACAGCTTTACTGAGCTTAAGGAGAGGCTTGCATCCAAGTGAACACTCTCAACAGAAATGCAATGGTGCAAAGCACACTGCTAATGAACGTGTCCCACTTATTTTACTATGTAACACTTCCGCGATTTCTAGGTCCTGGTTCAAGAGTGGTTCAGAGTAAAGAGTGCCACCTACTCATTAAATTGTTTACTACACTAGCCATCTCTTGGAGTTTAATTAGAAGGTTCTTATACAGCAACTATCGAAGTCCAGGTGTTATGAACCTATACTTCAGGCTGCTGTGGTTTTATTGGCACATAAGATGATAATGTTGGGACTTGGTTAGGATTTCTTTTCACAGTTGAGATCTCTGCTTTGACTGATGATGCTCTGTTTCCTGGTTTCTGACCAAAGTATCCCTGAGTATTATCTTCATTCTCAGCCTCTGCAATCCATTAGTGAGCTGACACTGGTCTGCCACAGATCAACAGGAAAAGCAAATTAAGAGTTTGGAAGGCACTTGGGAAGGAAAGCCAGGTACTCCCAAGAAGGAACAGGCAGGAGAAAGGCAGGAGGGTTCAGTACTGTTCCAGTCTGGGTGTGGAAGCAGGGGTCCGTGCAGAGGAATCCCTTCTTTTTCTTCCTCCCCATCCTCCTTTTCCCACAAAGGAGTTGTCATCCTTCTCCTCTATCCCCTGAGGAAACAAGACCTTCCATCCTTCATGGGAGGATTCACAAGTGTCCTCTGAGCACATTTCTCTCTGGCGTGTGAGAAAGCACTGGTCTTATCCCCCTACTTCTTCAGAGTTGAAGAGAAAAGAAGTTGGAAAAGAGCTCTCTCCTATTGCAGAAAAGAAGAGAGAGAGCCAAGAAGAAAGCCCCAGAGAATAGTTTCCCTGTAATTTTTTTCTACTTTAAAGCACATGAATGGCATAAGGGCAATGACTGCTTCCACACATTCTAAGCTCTTCTATAATGGTAGCAGTCATGAAAACCCGTGTAATTAGGATATGGGGAATGGCTGCTGACTCAGCTCATCCCTGTCACCTCCCATGAATGCAAGGTAGGTGACTCTGTCACACCCTGCACAGGGCACCTCTTCACATAGCCCCAAACAGGGCACAAGGTGAAAAGGCAGAGTTATTTTCTACTATATAAAATGCATCATAGGATTTTTGTTCCCCGAAATCTACGGAAAG